GTGTCGATAGAAAGCAGAGTCGGAGAAAGGAATATGTTTCAATATTAATGCAAGCGCATTGTGCAGCACATTTTATACAATATATCACAACAAACATTCGTGTTATTCTATAAAAAAGAAGAAGGTCAGTTAAGCAATTCATTATCATCAAACTGACTTAACGAAATACGAAAAAAATCTTACTATCAGTAATCCTAAATTTTTAAACGTTGAAATGTCAGTTTTTGAAATTGACAAAAACTATTTTAATAATTCTACTACTCCTATTCAACTATACCACAGTGTAGAAAGAATACAGTATTCCATTTTCATGCAATAATTTCCGTAACCTACGCATTTAAAAAAAAAAAGACAGTTGCAAATGCGTCGCAGTAAATGTATTTTTGCAATTCCTATGCGTCTTTTACGTAAATAAAAGTAAGTATAAATAATTATTTGAATATGACGAAGACCAAGTATGACCTAATTTTGTGCTTTCATCGATAATAAGAAGCGGAATATTTACATACCACGCGGCCATAGGTAATTAATGTTAAGAAAAAGCCCCGAATCCCAATGCTGTATTGTCTAATCTCACTATTGTTATTTTACATGGTATGATGATAATCCATTAAATAAGATAGTGATTAGGACGTATTACTGCAACTTACTGTCGCCAGCTTAGTGCTGGTATAGCAAAAGTAGTAAGCAGTTGTTTTATAAACGTCATTCACAGAGTAGTGAGCAAAGTGTAAAGTAATATTGAGCTTAATTTGAATTTTATATTTTTTAAATTTACACAATTAGAAAAAGTGTTTAGAATATCCAACTAGCTTTTTACCAGCGATTTCGCCCGCATGGTCCTGTATATGGGTATGTCGCAGTCAACTAGATAAATCATCATTCATTTCCAAAGGCAACATTTTGAAAAGTTTGTTTGTTTACTATGTATATGTACCAATGCTGCCATCTGCGCCGAGCGTTACCCTCCAATCCGCATTGGGCCAGCGTGGAGGGTCATGGCCCATCCTCCTTAACCATCCATAAGGAAGGCCTGAGCCCCTGCAGTGGGGACGTAAAAGGGCTGGTGATGTGATGTGATGTGTGAAGTGTGCCACAATCATTTTAACAATAAATATAATAGTTTATAATTAACGAAGAAATTTTTGCAATTACAATAAAATAAACATCTTATGTAGCATTCTGCTCGAGAACCAGTTACTTGTTGCTTTTGCAATTGTTTTTTTTTAGCTTCTATTTAACTTATTCAACAAAGTATTCTGGGTTCGACAATCTTGCAACCGAATTTCAAAGCGGTTATCCTTAGTCGTAACTAGAAGCTGAAATTTTGAATCCACTTTTAGTTAGTTATGTATGTCTCATCATTTTAAATCTAATAAAGTGGACGGTCCAAGATGGCTGGGTAGTCAGTTTTTGCGCTCTGTAGAATAATAAAACGACTTCATTCTAAACAGATTTTTAATAATAAAATTCATTTTTCACTAAATATATATAGCGGACTAGTTTCCTTTAAGCACTCTTTTGAGTGTCAATTTAAAGGATACGCTATAGAGATACAAAGAAATATATCTATTATTAATTTACAAAAAATAAGTATTATTTATGATTTTCACCAATCACAAGAAATTCATACTAATTAATTAATTTATTTACAACATTTTAAAGTTTTATTTATTTCATTTGAATACAGGAAGGATTCCAATTCAATATTTACAACTTTAGACACATACCGTCTTAACCGACAATATTAACCAACCAAAATAAGTAAACACGATGTCAACACATCTGACCAAACAGTGGCCTAATTGTCTAAATATAAAATAACAATTACTTTCAAACGTATAGCGGTTATGATAGAGATTTATCGAGAGATTTAATTTATCGAGAGTGTAACTTTATAAGTTGCTTTAGGAACGAATGATGATTTCAATGATATAAATGTCGTAGACAATTAATTTCGTTTGACATTTCCCAATAGCTTTCAAAGATATTTGTAACTATCACTTTCGAAAATTCCGATCGACGTCAAATGAAAGTTATCGTTCTTTTATGATATTAAAAAAAATGTCGCGTTCGCAAATGTCAAATAGTTTCAGCGCGAAGTTCGTTTCATGTCAAATTCTTAGTGATTGTGATAGTTATATTTGATCAATTTTGTATTCACAATGCTATATTGGAAACGTATCTTAAACCTTTACGAAACTACGGCCATATTCATGTAAAATTCAAAACTAGAGACCATCTCTAGGACACTTAATCTATATAACCTTAAACTAACTTTTGCCCGCAACTTAGTCTGCGTGGTATAGTTACTTTGGATAGCATTTCTAAAAACGCTAAATCAAGTAATTATTAATTATATCATATTTTCATATATTCGTGAAACTATGATATCTAGCAACTTCACACTCAGTCAGTATCCGCAAGCTGAATATTTTATTTCATCTTTGACGATGACGAACTTACACACAACTTTAATTCTCTATTTCAACCCTTTTATCTTAATTAAAAGCAATCTATGTCTCAAATTTAGTGGATTACTCTCGAGAGCGTTACACATATTAGTATGGAATAATTATTCTGCTTATCACTTATTACATACACCATTTAATAAGAGATTACCAGACAGTAACCAAAACAAATAGACGATCACAATTGGTCGGTCAAATTTATACACACAGCTGTTTTATTTTACTTTAAATTGAGAAGATTTTGTGAACTAATGGAAAAAACATTGAGGTTAAACTTAATTAATTTATCGTAGTCAACTGAGTCCTCAACATCCGTCCAATTAGCCCCATAATAGAACAGCACCATTAATTTGCAGGAGTAAACGTCGATCAGCTGAGTCACCATTACGTCCTACAGTGCAAACGTATAAAGTCGAGGGAACTAGTTAACTGTTCCCTCGACTTTATATCGTACGTTTGCGAAAGGTCATGGGTTCGAAATCCATCTAAGAGTGCCAGGGACAAAGTGGATTTTTTTAAGTATTTTATTAAGAATATTTTTTAGTATAGCATTGTGAATGCGAAAATGGTCAAACATAATAAATTTTTACCATTTCCTAATCATTATATTTTTATCATTATACCTCTTAATTAAATAAATAATTATATAGTTAGTTACATATTCTAAACCTTTATATTTCATTACAAGTAACCCGGCACCGAGAGTTTAGAGATTTATTGCTTTAGGAACGAATGATGATTTCAATGATATAAATGTCGTAGACAATTAATTTCGTTTGACATTTCCCAATAGCTTTCAAAGATATTTGTAACTATCACTTTCGAAAATTCCGATCGACGTCAAATGAAAGTTATCGTTCTTTTATGATATTAAAAAAAATGTCGCGTTCGCAAATGTCAAATAGTTTCAGCGCGAAGTTCGTTTCATGTCAAATTCTTAGTGATTGTGATAGTTATATTTGATCAATTTTGTATTCACAATGCTATATTGGAAACGTATCTTAAACCTTTACGAAACTACGGCCATATTCATGTAAAATTCAAAACTAGAGACCATCTCTAGGACACTTAATCTATATAACCTTAAACTAACTTTTGCCCGCAACTTAGTCTGCGTGGTATAGTTACTTTGGATAGCATTTCTAAAAACGCTAAATCAAGTAATTATTAATTATATCATATTTTCATATATTCGTGAAACTATGATATCTAGCAACTTCACACTCAGTCAGTATCCGCAAGCTGAATATTTTATTTCATCTTTGACGATGACGAACTTACACACAACTTTAATTCTCTATTTCAACCCTTTTATCTTAATTAAAAGCAATCTATGTCTCAAATTTAGTGGATTACTCTCGAGAGCGTTACACATATTAGTATGGAATAATTATTCTGCTTATCACTTATTACATACACCATTTAATAAGAGATTACCAGACAGTAACCAAAACAAATAGACGATCACAATTGGTCGGTCAAATTTATACACACAGCTGTTTTATTTTACTTTAAATTGAGAAGATTTTGTGAACTAATGGAAAAAACATTGAGGTTAAACTTAATTAATTTATCGTAGTCAACTGAGTCCTCAACATCCGTCCAATTAGCCCCATAATAGAACAGCACCATTAATTTGCAGGAGTAAACGTCGATCAGCTGAGTCACCATTACGTCCTACAGTGCAAACGTATAAAGTCGAGGGAACTAGTTAACTGTTCCCTCGACTTTATATCGTACGTTTGCGAAAGGTCATGGGTTCGAAATCCATCTAAGAGTGCCAGGGACAAAGTGGATTTTTTTAAGTATTTTATTAAGAATATTTTTTAGTATAGCATTGTGAATGCGAAAATGGTCAAACATAATAAATTTTTACCATTTCCTAATCATTATATTTTTATCATTATACCTCTTAATTAAATAAATAATTATATAGTTAGTTACATATTCTAAACCTTTATATTTCATTACAAGTAACCCGGCACCGATCGAACATAATATCATGACGAAACCAACCCGTACCATGAGTAGGTACGAAGGCAATATGAAATCAAAGTGCAGTCAACTGCTTGCTGCGTGCGTTTAATGAAGTCAAGCCAAGAATTAATTTAATAGTAACGGAAAATACAACAGTGACATATGAGTAACTATTCGATTTCCAAAAACAGTTTTTTTATTAACCGATAATAGAAGTGAATCCATTAAATCTACGAGTGATTACATTCTCTTAACACAGTGATTGGAGTCATTAACAAAAACTCGTTTCTGGGATTTATAATGGAATAAAAAATGTTATTAAATTATATATAAGTGAGTTTGATATGTTATTAATATTTTTTGTTTTTGCAACTGAGTAATTAAATACGAATATTTAATTCCATTTCTACGTAAATTTGACTTAATAAAATAATTTTGTGGCTTTGTGAAAAAAAAATGTGTATTCGTAATTCAACAAACTGAATGAATAATGAAAATTATATTTTTACAGAACATGAAAAAATGATGCCAAAAAATTTATATATATTCTTAATGGTAATCCTCATCATTTTAAGCGTAGAATGTAAAAACAATGGAATCAACCAAAGAGTTAAAAATAGAATATCAGACTCAGACAATCGGAATTCGCTTCTCCAAAATCCACTGTTGGAACATATGCAGTCTGTGGGTCTCGGCTCTATGACTCGGAGCCCAAACGACTTATTCGATATATTAAGAGATAGCTACCCATTGCCAAATGGTAAGTAAATTACTTCATACTTATTTTTATATCTTTTAAAATGGATGCCTATTCGAAAGCATATAGATATAAAGGTCTTGACCACCTTATTTTCTTTGTTAGAATCACCTCAAGATATCTTATCCCCCACTTTCAGTACATATGCACGAGTCACACTAAAAATCTTCAATCATCCTCTAATCGATTACTTGTTTGCCCTTCTCATCTCTCTGACATCATCCACTTCATCTATGGAACGCACTATCCTCAGACATCAGAATGTCCCCCAATCGGTTAGGTTTCAAAACTATGTTGCGTAACTTTATACTAAAAAATATTGTATTTTTATATCATTGCATATGTCGAACGCTGTATGTGTAAGTATATATATTGTCTTCCTAATTGTATAATAAATAACAAATATCTTATTTTTTTATGCACCTAACTTTGTTTTTATATTTAATCCCCTCATAGCTTAAAGGTTGACTGACAGAGAATGCCTAAGGCCTTAAATCCGTCTTTGCACGACAGTGCATAAAGTAATAAATAAAATTATTTTCGGAATACGCCATCCTCTGTCCCTATCTATCTCATTTTCTCTATTGTCTATATAACCAGCCCAGAAAAATAAGTCACAAAATTGCAAAAAAAAAATCTAAAATTTATATTGTAATAAATATACACCCGGTTTCTGATTTGAAAATTTAAAATTAAGAACTGTACTTATTTTTTTAATTATCAGTTGATATGTTTGATACAATTAAGACTTTTTGACTTGTGTAACGTAAAAAACTTAAATTACTCATAATGTTTAGTCAAGATTTTGTACTATTCTCAATTCAGAAACCAACTGAGAAAGATTTTGAGTCATAATCATAACATATCTTAAATCTTAAAATCAATCGTCGAGATTTTTTGTCTCAGTGTCACATGACTTAAAACACGTACCGCCATAGCATAACGTCGCTCCGGCAACATTTGTCAGATAAGTCGTAAATATATGCCTATTTATTATAAATCAACTTCCTAGATGGCGATGTTGTTACGTTATTTATATCTTTTAATTTTATAGTTGATCGCTAGTGTGCACTGCTATTGTTTTATTGCCATCTTTTGATCTACTACTTCATGCATCTGTTTTGTGCACATATCGGTATAACGTCATGAATATGGCGGACAGTGTATATGCAATTAAAAAAAGTATAACGTTGACTTAATTTTAAGGCAAGAATACGTGTTTATTTTTTCAAAATATTTGTTTTGTGGCTATTTTAAATTAAACTAAACACTTACAAGTACTATTTCAGGCAGAGCAGAATATTTGATTAAAAGAAAACATTTTTGCACTGTCTTTGATACAATAATCTCCGCGTATTTTTTAAGGTCGATGACAATTTAATGTCCCGTCAGGTTACCACAATATGCCAAATTTCTTCAATTAATTTTGAACGCTACTTAAAATGCTTTAAAAGTTAAAATCAAGTGGAGAAATATAACTTTACTGTATAAACCTAACGTGCTGCTGACTGTTTGTTTACTACTATTAGAATTAAATTATTAATTTGAATTATGGAATCATTAACAAATCTTTGTAAATATCATCTATTAATAAACTGTCTATAATCGACTGTAAACGAGCGTTACGCAGTTCATTGCTTTCCCAATCATAATCATCTTTTCGTTGACATCAAACCGAAAATACGACACACGCAATAACATAACATTCGTTAGCTAGAACCATATGAAAAAAATGCGTACTGACAACATTTTTTTTCTGTGTGGTACTAGTAATTATAATCAATGCAAGCAACATTAGTGCCAAGTTTCCATTAGTGATTCGTTTAAAGTCTATCGCATGCCTGCTAGTGTCAATGTCATCACTCGCCTTGACAACTTTACCATAAAATTATGTTTAATAACATGTGCAATTTTGTTTTCCATCTAATCTTTCCTGCATACTAATTTATAACGCAGATTAAGTCACAAAATCTTTACTCTATATCATTTTTTTCGGTCTTATTTGGTACTCACTATATTTATTTTTATTATTATTTCTCAAGTTTGGTGTGATACGCTGTTTGTTCTAGGACTGAATCTATTTGATACTTTTGTCCATTCTAATCTGTTAGCAAAACAAATGTTTCACTACGTGTTCTTAAAATCCTTCAATGTATTAATATTTTTTGAAAAATACTCTATATCAGATAGTAAATTTTATAGTATACTAGCTTGCTGTTTGCCCTTCGCCAGTGTAAATTTCAGCCCATGTCACCCGCGTATAATGTAGCTTCGCGTAGATGAAAGAATTTCTACGATATTTAAAATCGGTCCAGTAGTTTTGAAGCAAATTATTACCAAATAAACAAACAAATCTTTCCTCTTTATAATATTAGTATACATTAATTGTCATTGAATATGTATGCCACGGTATAGTATCTAACCCGATAATAAACCAATAATAAATAAGATTTTTACGTTATTATTAAAATTATTTACGTTTAGTTACCTTAGTAAATAATAAAAACATGATAAAGCAGAGTATACGACGTTTTCTACGTTGTATACTCTGCTTTATCGGTTTCAAGGCAAAGGTATCGTTAATCAAATGGTTGATTACTCATAGAGCAAATTAACTTCTAGTCCTAGGACAATATCATGAACTCTTGATCGTTACAAGTAATTATAGGTAGACTCTGCTATGCGTGTGCGTGTGTCTAAACTAAATCTCATTTCAAATACTAAAATTAAATTGTTTTAAAAGGTAATGAATGAGTAAGTATATGCGAACATTTATAATAATAAATTGACGTATAGATTGACTCGACTATTTTGTTTTAAAATTTTCGATTACAACGATGAGTAAAAGAGGAACTTTTATAAGGACGTCTTTGAGAATGGAAGTGTTTCCGTTAAAAAGCCACTTATACCCAATATCAGTTACTTTCAACCGGTTCATTATATATTTGTATTTTGTTTTTGTATTTATGATACCCAAAACATCGGTCCATATGTATAAAATTTAAACTACCAACATGCATTTCAACACTTACAAATTCCTTATTTACAGGTCTCAACGCACCTTTCGCCGAATACGATTACGTAATAGTCGGAGCAGGTACGGCTGGTAGTGTACTAGCTTCCCGACTTAGCGAGGACCCGGAGGTCACAGTGCTAGTACTAGAAGTTGGCAGACCGGAGAGCCTAATCACTGATGTCCCAGCTATTGCTCCTTTCTTCCAGAGAACTGAATATAGCTGGCCTTATTATATGGAACCACAATCGGGAGTCTGTTTGGGTAACTTCGAACATAAATTAATATAAGACACCCATTTCTCAACGTCACCTAATAATACTCTACACATGGCTAATAATCCCAATTAAAAAAAGAAACAAGAGATGTTCTATGTCTGGATGACGACATTTACCGTGTTCAATCAGGATAAATTTTATCAATTTACCAAATGCTTGCTAATTTGTGTAAAAGCTTTGACGAATATCAAATTGGCCGCACCTTACTATTGACAATTTAAATATGAGAGAGGAACAATTACTTGTCTAATTAAAACTCAGAAAATGTAGACCAATTAGTAGGATTGTAACTGTGATTCAGATAAATATAAAACTTTAGAATGTTTGTGAAATATTAAATTTCTGCGAAATATAAGGTACATGGAAGTAATCCCGTGTTTCACAGTCACTTTGATGTCAATAAACATGAAAGCATAGTATAAATGAAAGTTTGAAATTAAAAATATAAAACTTATACAATCAATAATTTGATTGTCAACAAATAGTCGAGAATTGTTTTGGTATAAATAGCTCACTTAACTATTTATTTTGCCAATTTCAGTGTGCCACTCTTTAAAATGTATACTTATTTTAATTTGAATTATAGGGTTGTTTAAACGTTATTTAATCAAATAAATATATATAAGCTATAAAAATAGGCTACAATCTTACAGAGCTTTATATATTATAGCCTATTTATCCGCGTAAGCTGTATTGCATTCGTAGGTAAAAGAATTTTTAAAATCGGTTTAGTAGTTTCGTAGAGTATTCAATGCAAACTAACAATCAAATGTGTTGTTTCTTCATAATATTACTATAAATATTCCACCACAGACAGTTTAATTCTGTTAAGATTTGAAAACGCAGATTTATAGTATTCTTTGTGCAACAAAATTGTTACCAATTTTAAACTAGCTTTGTCTGTTATCAACCTTTATCATAATCTACATTATCGAGACAATGTTTATACTAAAATTAGAGAAAGATAATTACGAAACCTACTAGGTCGATAGTGATTAAAAATTAGAGCAAGCAACATTAATATTTATGAAACCATCCGTATCGATGAAATTAGTTTAAAAATAAATTACACTAACTGTTATTGATTTTCTTTAAGATTAATTTATTGACATAAACTTCAAGAAAATTCCATAGAACTTGATCATGTCTTTAAGGTCAAGAATCATTAATTAATGAAATACAGGAATGAGAAATCGAAGATGCTACTGGCCACGAGGAAGAGCAGTCGGCGGCACCAGTGTCATTAATTATATGATATATACAAGAGGGCGGCCTGAGGAGTGGGACCGTATTGCTGCCGCTGGCAACTATGGATGGTAAATGGTGAACCTCAAATAATTGCTTTTATACTTACCTAAATTAATTTGATCTAGCTTTATCACAGATCGCTATTTAAAAATGATTAATGGAGTCTAGCGATTTTTTGATCTCTTTATTTATTAATTGAATTCTAGGTCTTACAGAGATGTATTGGAATACTATAAAAAGTCAGAGCGCGCCGATTTAAGAGGCTTTGAAAATTCACCTTATAGAGGAAAAACTGGTGAAATGAACGTGGAATTTGTACCTTTCAGGTAACAAACATAATAACAGCACTTTTCATTCTGGTCACATGTAATCTAACACAATATCATATTGCAGGACACCACTTATCAGCACATTTTTAGAAGCCGGAAGAATACTTGGATACCCTACAGTAGATTATAATGCTCCTGAGCGACTTGGATTTGGTTATTTGCAGGCTAATATGAGGAATGGCAAAAGGGTTAGTGCGGCCAAAGCTTTTTTACACAACAATAAAGAACGGCCCAACCTTCACATATTACCGATGAGTACAGCAACCAAAATTTTCATAGATAATCAGACAAAAATGGCAAATGGTGTACAGTACATGAAAAACCGTTTAAAATTTGAGGTAAGAGCTCGAAGGGAAGTGATTTTATCAGCGGGGCCTATAGCATCCCCTCAATTACTTATGTTATCAGGTATTGGTCCAAAAGATCACCTTAGTCAACATAATATTACTCTGGTACAAGATCTTCCAGTGGGACGCACTCTCTACGATCATATTACATTCCCTGGATTAGTTTTCACACTCAATGTTACCAATGTCAGTTTAATAGAGAATCGAGAAACAAGTGTTGCCACTGTAATTCGATGGCTCCAGTTTGGTGATGGCCCAGCTTCCACTACAGGTGCAGCAGAAGGGATAGGATACATCAAAACACCTGTATCCGAAGATCCCGAACCTATACCAGATATAGAGCTTATCAGTATCGGGGGTTCTATTGTTTCTGATGGCGGCCCTGGTGGAAGCAAAGCCGTTAGAAGAGGTATGATGATTACTGAAGAAACATTTGACGGGGCATATGGTTCGGTTGATGCTACGGACACATGGACGGCATTTCCAATGCTACTACATCCAAAATCAGTAGGATATTTAGAGTTGAAAAATAAAAATCCATTGAGTCACCCTAAGATGTATGGAAATTATTTGACTGATCCGAAGGACGTGGCGACGTTCTTGGAAGCAATACGTTTTATACAAGCATTAGCTCAGACGGAACCTTTTCGGAAATTGGGAGCGCGTCTTCACGAAGCTCGATATCCCGCTTGCTATGCGATGGCATTTGATTCTGATGAATATTGGGAATGCGCTATTAGGACTCTTACTGCTACCTTACACCATCAAATAGCAACATGTCGTATGGGACCAAATACCGATTCGTTAGCAGTGGTCGATCCGGAACTTCGCGTTTATGGAGTAAGCCGGCTACGAGTTGTAGATTCCAGTATCATACCTCGTACACTTTCAGTGCACACTCATGCACCCGCCATTATGATTGGGGAAAAAGCAGCAGATATGATAAAATCTACGTGGAGTTAACATATATCGATAGTACAAATTAGTTTATAACAGTGTTGTTTTTAAGTACTATAATATAATATTTTAAAAATATTTTGTTATTTCTAACAATTAAAGTTATGCCACAAATTGTAATTGCATATTCTATCTACAGAAAATACCCTGTAGTATTAATATATTTTTTCCATTCATAAATTATTTAACGCTGGTGACATCGCATAATTTATGAAATTTTAACAATGAAATTAATAGAGTCGCCACCTAAATCAAATTAATTTATTTGCCGGCCGGTTTCCGTACTGAGAAAAGTACAAAATCTCAACTAATTATTCTCAATCATTTAAGTTTTATACGTTTCACAAGTATAAAAGTGCTAGTTTTATTAAACTGCTGTCAACGATCATTAAAAAAACTAAAAACAGAAACTATAACCTGTGTAAGTACAGTTTGAGACGTACTTAACATCAAATTCAATAATTTCAATTCAGAAAGCGGGTGATAACAGTTGAATGTTTGTTTGTAATAAAATTCTTCCACCTACAGGAAGCTAATAGGGCGAAATTGCTTGAACAGCTAGTAAATAATTCTACTAACATTACAAATGCGATTATTTGTGAGGATGCATATTTGTAACTCTTTCACGCAAAAACTACTGAACGTATTATGATAAAATTAGGTACACGGATAGTTTTCAGCCTTTTTTATCCCACTTATCGGGTTTCCAAGGGAGCACGCAGGTTAAGCCGCTTGCGGAAAGCTAGTAAGTTATAAATATCTGTTTTTTGTTCTTCTTTTGAATTCAACGACCGCAAAATGATTATGCCAATGTATCAAAAACTCTGCATTGGCAGTTATTATTTTTTTCTGAAGACCAGTTCTCAGCGCTTGGTATCGAAACAGGAATCCTTAACACTTATACACATTTGACTCAATATAACTTTAGAGTTCTAAACAGTTGGACAGGCCGTGCAGCCGATAGAAGAAAAAAATTAAAAAGGTTTTTGACTGATAAGTTTGAAATGTTCAAAATTGGAAATATATTTTTTATATTTTTTATCGTTACTTTATTGCGTGGTCAAGAAACAGAAGATGATGAAATCGAAGTTACAGTGGAAACCGAAGCTGAGGATAGTGGTAGAAACGGGAAACTATTGTGGTCTCACCATCCGTTAATAGACATTATAAAGCAGACATCTAGAAATCTGAAAGAGACTGGGGACTTTTTCGATTTCATGAGGGACTCTTATAAATTGCCCAATGGTAAGTATAATAGATATTTTTATATGGTGCACCCAAAATCAATACTTTATAAGCACAATATTGTTTTCTTTTTAATCTAGTATGATAATCCTATTAAAATTATAAATGTGAAAGTTTCTTTGTTTGGATGTTTGTCCGTCAATTACACCGAAACTACAGAACGGATTTTGATGAAATTTGGTATTCAGATAGGGTATTAGCTGACTTAGATAATATAATACTTTTTATCCCACTAAACATTTCTCTAGGGACTTTAATATGTATTTCATATTTAACAATGAACTGATTGTTTTTTTAATAAAAATTAATCAATTACATAATAAGATGATAATTATTCAGCATTATTAATTCAAAATTTATATTTTTTATTTTTAGTTAATGTCAAAAGTAAAACATGTCAATTGCGTTGGTTTTATTTACACTATGAATATATTTCCACTACTCTAGTAATTTAATAATTATATTTACTAATGTTAACTACATTTTATTTCCTGTCTGAAATATTTCATGACTTAAGTAGTAAAATAAACCTCTCTTTGATTTGAATCAGCGCCAAACGTCAAGTTAAAAATAGAATTTAATTAATTCTTTTTAATCGGCACTTGTTGAATTGAAATTCGAAGGACTCAGTAGCATTTAAACTTTAGTGGTGTTTTTCTGTTGATTTAATTTTCGATACAAAAAGTTCAATCCTGTCTAACAGGTATGAGGTGTTTATTTGGCAGGCATTATAAAAATAACCGTTTGATAGCTGTTTTACTTTGTAAATTAATAGATAACGGTCGGCCACCTTTTAGTGTTTTTTTTTATTATATTTAATTGACGCAAACGTAACTGTGCTCATGTCAGCTACATAATAAATCCGAATACATTTTTTTATATCGAATTGCTGTTTATATGTCATTCGGATTTTAATATGTAAATGTTGTATATATTTGACATTTGGAATTTTTTAGTCTTTTCATAATTTATTCTTTATTTGCTAATTATTTCTAATCATTCAAGAACAAAAATAATAATTTATGTTGGGAATTGACAATTATTCAGCTTTATTAATTCAAAATTTATTTTTTTATAATACGCACCAAATTACCAAGAGCACAGCAAAATGTGGAATTCAGTATACCTTTAGAAATTGTTAATACAAATTCAATAAAATGTTCATAATCGTGTTCAGGGCATAATCAACTACTTTTGTAATCGGATTAATAATCTGATCAATAATAATCATGATTACTTATAATCAAGATTACATGAGTAATCTTCAATCTTGATTATAGTAGTAAGTAATCAAATAACATGATTATTGTTGACTGTATTATTATATAGAATAATGTAATTTAGTGCAAGTTTGTTGAATATCCGTCTTTATCATATTTGAAATAGCGTCATGTAATATTTTAGACTCAAACAAAATATGGTCAGAATGATCGAACGGCAGAGATATTATCACGCCATCCTTGTCGGTAATTTTTAAATTTATTGTAAACTGAATCGACGATTACTAATAAAGTTGCAATTTCCGTGTCTTTTCAACTAAAATAAGTATAAATTTGCGGTTTTAACAATTCAACATAATTTTTTTTATGTTAGTCTTCTTAAACAAAAAAGACACACAACACGGAGAAGACATCTTCAACGAATATCAGAGTTCAACGAAAATCAGGAACATTTAACAGTCGTGGTTTTATTGAAATCCAATTTAAACCGCATATCGTAAATAACGAAGACCCAGTAGATTTTTTCATAAAATAATTAATCTGTATATTGCAATTATGAGACTGATTAAAAAATTAAAGATGATATACTGCTATATAATTTGTTTTTATTTTTAATTTCTTTCCAGTGTTTGTTTTTATTAATTATAAAAAGTAATCAAGATTACGACTACAGATTATCAATCATTAAGCGCCAAACTAGATTACTTTTTTAATATAATGTGTAATCATTAATCTGATTACTATTATAGTATTTTTAAATAATGTCAACAATTTTAAGTAGTTCACAACTACCTAGTTCAACATCGCTGGCTTCTACAACATAATGCATATGGAGTGGTAGAAGAGATTATTTTAAAACAAAGATGGATTTTTGACATTTTTCAGGTCTCAAGGCACCATTGCCTTTTTATGATTTTATAGTAGTCGGTGCAGGCTCAGCTGGTAGCGTATTAGCATCCCGACTGTCTGAGAACAGGAATACTACAGTGTTGCTCTTAGAAGCAGGCAAGCCAGAAATGCTACTTACAGATATACCTGGGATGGCTGCTTACTTTCAAGCTACGGACTACACTTGGCAATATTATATGGAACCACAACCTGGAGTTTGTATGGGTAAGTAATCAAAAAATACTTAGGAGACAGGCTTGTAGCTCTCAAAACTTGGTTATTCGAGACACTACTAAACCAATAATTTAAAAACTTGCAACGTAAAAGTTCTTCGTTGTTAGTAAAGTAAGTTACATATATTGAATAATAGATGGAAAACACATTTTCATATATATTAGTATAGAAAACTGCTACACAATGATTTTACTTATAAATGAAACAATATTGGGTGTTTGAAATGTGATATAACGCGAATTGCTAATGATTTTGGTGGAATACAAATTAAAGGGATGATTATATGAATCCATCAGTTGAAAATAAAACATTTTCAACAACTATTTTTGATTAAATTACTAGGAACTACTAATGATTTGAAGTTTATACTTTCTCTACTATATATAAAGACTGAAAAAGGGAAAAATTTAGGTATCTAAATATAATAGGAACACTTGCTTTTCTGTCTCATTTTCATTGGCCGGTTATTGGACATCAAGGGGTTTATTGACTAATAAAATGAATCCACAGAGAGCGTCTGCACCCTGCATGGTCCTAATCAATCAATGTAAATAAACTCTATTGAAAGATTCTAAAATATAAACTAAGCAATTGGATTTGGTATAAGTTCAGATATTCTATGAATTTCAAAGTATTCCACTAATTGGCTCAGGAATGATAAATGAACGTTGCTTCTGGCCCAGAGGGAAAGCTGTCGGAGGTAGTAGTGTCATCAACTACATGATATACACAAGAGGAAGACCACATGACTGGGACAGGATTGCTGCAGACGGCAACTATGGCTGGTAAGATTACCTCAGTTTCAAATTGAAAAATTAAGATTTCAAATTGAAAACTAATTGAGTCATTTCATTGTGATCCCCTAAATCGGTCTCTACCATATCTCTTATAACTTCAGGGCTCGGTAAGCGGATCAGAATAGAATAGAATAGCCTCAACATACCGTGATAATTATATTTCATATGCAATAAAACAATTCCGAGATTTTAATTTTCAACCGTCTTCAAAATCGAAAAGGATAAGGTTATATGTTCGATGACGATGTATGTTCACCGATAGTTTCGTCAATTGTTCACCGATTTTCAAAATCCTTTTTTTTTTCGACAGCTTAAAGGACTGAGGTGGTCTCATCTAAATTTAATCGAAATGAATAAGTAGTTTTCCTTTTATAACAAACAAAATATGCCTTTCAACAGATATCACCTAAATATTAAAATATGTTATAACATGGCCCATTTCAGTTAAAAAAACAAATACTCAATGTATTTAGAATGTATTCAAAATCTGAAAGAAAGATTTTCTATGTTCATCGAGTATGGGTATATACTTTACTCTTTGATGTGTATTTTTTTATGAAAGTCATTTATAGTATAGTAGATATCAATGAGAAAAGTGTATATAAGGGTGGGTATGTTCATCGATTTTTTCTTTAATTGTGAACCAATTTCTATCAAACTAGCTGTTTCTCCGCTACTTCGCCTGCATGAGTTATATAACCTTTGTCTGCCGCGTATTAAGTTCTAATTCAATTCAATTCACGATGTTTCTAAATACAAAAGCGACGATCACGGCCACATATCATGGTCGCAATTAATATTTTATAAAACACATTAGCCATTATCTTCATCCTATTGGCAACCCCTAAGTTAGGAGACAAGCCTTCCTTTTCTAATAACAAGGAAAATGAGATATACGTGCCTAATTTACGACGTGGTTCAAACGATGTCTTGGATTGTACATCCAGTATCAACTGTCAAAATCCCCTTTAAAATATAAAGCATATCGAAATTATAAACTTTGTATTTAACTATTTGTTACTTGACAATGGTCTTTTTATATAAATCGTACATTCTAAATAAAGTACCATCGAGCTTTATTAAAAAAGCTACGAATAGTTTTCAGATCACCAACTTTAGTTCAGTAGTATTTCACACACTCAACTAAGCGTTATCTTATTTAACATACATTTGAAAGTATTATGCCACAACAGTAAACTGAAAAAATTTAAAAAGTTCCAAACTTAAAAAAAATGTTTTTCATGACAGGTCATACAATGATGTTCTTAAGTATTATATGAAATCCGAGAGAGCTAATCTACATGGTCTAGAAAATCAACCTTACAGAAGCAAGACAGGAGACATGCCCATTACTTTTGTACCAAAAAGGTAACATCCATGCCACTTTTTCAATTAATTTTATCATATATTAATTTATTTTGATTTGTTATAATTAATTTTCTATTTACAGAACAAAGTTAGTAAAAGCATTTTTAGAAGCCGGAAGAATTTTGGGACATCCGACAGTAGACTACAACTCTCCTCATGAATTAGGATTCGGATATGTTCAAGCTAATATAGACAAAGGTCATCGTCAAAGTGCTGCCAAAGTATTTCTACATCCGCATAAACGGAGAAAAAATCTACACATAATGCCTTCATCGACGGCGTCTAAAGTTCTTATTCACCCTCAAACAAAAACAGCTTATGGAGTCGAATTCATACACAAAGGTGTTAAATACATATCGCGTGTACGTAAGGAAGTTATTGTATCAGCGGGACCAATTGCTTCACCGCAATTATTAATGTTGTCAGGTGTAGGGCCGAGCGATCATTTAACTTCATTAGGGATACCAGTTATTAAAAATTTGCCCGTAGGGCAAACCCTGTACGACCATATAAGTTTCCCTGCTGCTATTTTTACTTTAAACAGTACGCGCTTGAGTTTTAATGAAGCTAGAGCTTTAAAAGTTAGAAGTATTTTATTCGATTGGCTACGCGATGGCGACAACGAGCTATCGTCACCAGGTGCAGTAGAAGGAATAGGTTATATCAAAACGCCTGTGTCTGATGATCCAGAGCCAGTTCCCGATATCGAGTTGATTAGTGTTGGAGGTTCAATAGTAATCGACGGCGGACCCGATGGCAGTCGAGCAGTGCGTAGAGGCATGAAAATAGCCGAATCTGTTTTCAATCAAGCTCTAGGACCTGTCGATAATACAGACACGTGGAGCGCATTACCAATGTTATTATACCCAAAGTCATTTGGATATTTGAAACTGAAAGACAAGAATGCTTTCAGTCATCCTCTTATGTACGGAAACTACTTGACTGACCCCCGAGATGTGGCCACTCTTGTTGCATCAATTAGACACATACAAGCGTTAGCAGCAACAAAACCATTTCAAAAGTTCGGTGCTCGGATGCATAAAGCCGATTACCCCAGATGTCGTGACAAAGCTTTTGACTCTGATGCATATTGGGAATGTGCAGTGAGAACCATTACTGCAACTTTACACCACCAGATAGCAACATGTCGTATGGGACCTGCTGGCGACCCAAAAGCAGTGGTAGATCCAGAGCTACGTGTTTTTGGTATAAAAAATCTACGTGTAGTTGACTCGAGTGTAATACCCAGACCAATATCTGCTCACACGCATGCGCCAGCAGTAATGATAGGCGAAAAGGCTGCTGATATGATTAAATACACATGGAGTATTTCGTAACCCGATCTAATGACTGAAATAATACATTTGAAAAATTTATTTATACGTCACTTTTTCATTAAAATGCTTTCTTTTTATTTCGTAATTTCTTGCGGCGATTGCCTTGCATAAGTAATGCTAAAAGAAGTCAAATAATACAAAATTATATGTGTAAAACTTGATTGTGTTGAAAAATATATGAGCTGAACAAACACGTATTTTATGCTTATATCTCAAATTACCGGTTAAAATACACTTATCTGTAATACCAAGATCTGTAAGAAGCCCAAGATAAAAAAAACATTAAAAATTCAAGTTTGTTATACTCATATGCAATGATATTACATTAAAAAAGGATAGATAGGTTACTTGAATTCAAAAAGTGTCACCTTAAAACTATGCTAATAGCATTTATGTGCGTTTATGTACCATAATCATTTTAAAAATGCCACCCTGTGTTATGTGAAACTGTAGAAACAACATAAGTAAGTCGTCTAAAGACTAAGGGGTTACATTTCATTCGTAAGTATACATTTTTAATTGATTTGCGTTTTAATCAGAAAAATAAATAATATGTCATAAAAAGAAAGAATAAATAATTCGTTTACAAATTGTTAAGAAGGTCTGTCAAAGATTATGTAAGTAACAGAACAGACAATTTGACTTTAGTGCCTACACTCTACCTTACATTTATTTGAAAATATATATGCGACAGAAACTCCGAAACTCCGGGATTCAAACCCTCAATATAAATAAATTCGAAGCATCGAAACCTAACTCCGGTACTAAAAAAATACTCCGATTCCAATTTCGATCGAAACCGTGTAATACATATTATATATCAGTGTCAGGTTTATTTTATCGATTGAAAAGCTTCATTATTTATACACGGACAAATGATATCTACACTAACGACAAGGAGAAATAATTACGTTAGACATCAACATTTTTAAGTTGAAATCTTTAACTCTTTCAGGTAAAAGAAGACCTTAAACGCATTAAATCATTATACGTCTAGTATCTGATATATTCAATTATAGTCTATGAATAATTAGAGAGTACCGTGCCATGTGCGTGTGTATATGCTAGGGACAATTTTTGACCTCATATTAGTACTGACATTACCCATCTACCCTTTTTTTTATTGTAATATTGCTTATATGTAAATAATGGACTCTTGATAATTGTCGTAAAAAGTCATTGTCCTCCATGGACAAGACTTATCTGATCTGAAAGATCAATGAAATACTAAAAACCAGTATGAACGTTACGTCGTTTATTTGTAATTTTTCAAATTAAAACGGGTTCTAAATATATTGGCGGTTCATCTTACATTACACTATCATATTCTTTTGAGCAAAAAATTTACCCGTAATAACAGATGATGACAATGGCTTATTTTGTAGCTTACCGTAAATGGAAGAATTTTTAAAATCTAGTCCAGTATCCAATCTATCGAATATTCAGTAGTTTCGGAGTATATTCGATGCGAACTAAAAAAATAAACAATCAAATCTTTCCTCTTTATAATATTAGTACAGACAACTATGTTATTATCTTGGAAACCTGACTCTTGGATTTTTTCTTATATAATAATAAATATAAGAAAAAATCCAAGAATCAGTGATGTGAGGCATTCATACATTTTTTAATATCGTGACTAGTCACTATCGTTAGTGTCTAGTCGCATCATGTGCTAACTTCTTGTGAGTTGTCATTAAAAAATGCCAATGACCTCGCTATACTTAAAACGGATTTCAGAGGACTTGTTCCGAGTTCATCGTATCGAGTCAGAAATCCTTAACATTCATACTTGACTCATATAACTGTAGACCTCCAAAGAGTAAGCCACGCCGTTTCGCTGGCTGAATAAAAAAAAACAAAAACATAAGATTTAAAAGTTTTTGCTATGTTTAAAAACCGTTTTCTATTTTTCGTTTTCTTCGTTGTTAACATAACGTGTGGACAAAAAAAAGATGATGACATCAAAGTTACAGTGGAAACTAAAACTGAGAATAATGGTAGAAATGGAAAACTATTGTGGTCTTACCATCCGTTAATAGACATCGTAAAGCAGACAATGGGAAATGGACTTTTAAAAGCTACAGACGACTTTTTCGATTTTTTGAGGGATTCCTATCAATTACCGAACGGTAGGTCTTTTAATTTATATAAATCACGCAAACAGATACTTTCGTAAGATCTATTCAGATAATTTATTAAATTACTTAAATAGTTTTATATTTCAATATTTTGTAAATATGTTTATGGTTACTGCTAAGATAAATTGTTATTTTATGGTCATTATTTAATTTATTATATTATTACTTTTATCTCCTTCCACATGCATAATACCCAATTAAGTTATACAACATACGAATTATAATAAATAAAATAATAAAAAGTATAATAAAGAATATGAAATTTAGACGAAATATTTTTAAAAGAGCAATACGCAGAACTTTCATTTATAATATTAATATTGACAAAATAACAATCTTTAAATAACAAAAAAATGTACGATGATATGTGAGCTACATCTACATATGAACAGTTACAAGATATAGACCTGCCATTAATCGATAAATTAACCATTCGTAATGATTAATGACTATTGAAAATTCTTATACCGTACCCAGAAAAAGTAAACGGACTCGTTTGACAAGGAAATACCAAACAAAACAATGAACCGTAAGAAGTTTCATACTGGCCACATGTATTTCAGAGTGCGTTTACATTTGTGATATACAAAGCACCGGTTACACTGACAAAGGCATTGCAGTATCACCTATTGTATGACTGCTAGTGTTCTAAGTTGATATCATGCATATTATACTATAACGGACGACTTATCAAATTCTAAATAAAAGAGTGAAGCACGAAATCCACCTGCAGTTAACCATTACCAGAGATTTTAGCTACCTATACTTGATATCCGAAGAAGCTTCAGGACCCAGTGATGCAACACGTCTCTTTTAAATTTTAGCAACCTGAACAGATATTGATAAAATTTATAAATAATATTAATAAAACAATCCGGTTTTGTTTTAGTTAATACTGAATCTAGATACATGATGGATTTTGTGTCTGTTCGGATAAACAAGCTATTGCCTACGCCACCGAAAATCCTAATCAATAAGATTTATACTTAGATGTTATCTTACTGATTTTTCAGGTCTCAAAGCACCGTTGCCCGAATATGATTTTATCATAGTCGGCGCAGGCTCAGCTGGTAGCGTATTAGCATCTAGACTAACTAATAACAGAAATACTACAGTATTACTCTTAGAAGCAGGAAAGCCAGAAATGCTCTTAACAGATATACCTGCCATGGCACCATACTTCCAATCCACGGACTACACTTGGCAATATTATATGGAGCCACAGCCTGGTGTTTGTATGGGTGAGTACCTAATAATATGACATAAATATTATTTTTGCATTAATTGACACAATTAATTATAAACCACATGAAACAAATTATTCAATTGTTATCTAAATAAATATCAATTTTTTACCGACAAACCAAATATATTGACCTAATAGTGTAAAAAGAAATTACACTAATTTGCGATAATAATATACGTAAAAGCCTGTATGTAAAAGAAAGAAAGCAATTTCTTAGCTTGAATTTTATCCCAAGTGAACACAGAACATGACACTCATCCATAGCAGATTTCTGTCGGAAAAGTAATTTCAATATCCGTTTCACATAGGATGGGTACGGTTAAAAAATGATTAAAAGCTATCCTTATAAATGATATTTTATTTTTGTATATAGATATTTATTTAAATTTGTATATTTAAATATAAATACATTTTTAATATCCATAATTACTGAAATCTAAACCACTAAAGTTATTTTTTTTTAAATAAGGATTGAATCAATAAAATCGTTTAAATAGTAATACGTATGCGGTAATCTTTTAACAATTTCAAATAATTATATCTCTATGCACTCTATCGTCAGCTATCAATATGGTAAAATGAAACTGAGAAGATTTTAAGAAGCCCATAAGTTTGTTTGCAACACTTCCACATTCCGAGTCTATAGCTCTAATCAAACGCTAAACGCACATACCAAGTACCACTGTAGATACATTTTAGTTATAATATGGTTGCCATTCTGTCCACGTATTCTTAGTTTGTTATTGTTTAATGCAAAACTCGTATGTACTGTGTAAGCCATAAGCGCTCTAACAATTGATTTTCGCATTCCTAAAGCAGTTTCGTTTATCCGGATAATTACCTAAATGATAAAACTTCAAAATTTAATAGAGAACCCGAAAGTGTGTTATCCTTATTTAAATACTCTTCCGTGACTTAAAATATGTACGTATTTTTCGTCTGGGTTAGGGAATTATCTTAATTGTGCCTCTAAAGTTTTTGAATTTACAAGTTTTCATTAGTATTATATAGTAAACATTTTACAAATTAGTTTACTTAAGAGAATTGAAAAATTAAGGTTAACCAATTTTACCCCACAACCCAATATTAAACTTAATTTGGCAGATATTATATGTATTAGCATAGCACATAGGTATTATTTACAATCTGTAGTAAGATAAATTAAACAACGTTTAAATGGTTTTATCGTATTTGTGAACACGGAACCTGTAAACGGTCCGAAACGTCAATAACAATGTATACAAACACTGATTATTTAAAAGTTTATGGAACGTGCGCGTGTAAATATAAGAAATCAATATGTAGTAAGATATAAAAAAAGAAAAACATTGGAGTCGGTATATTTTTTCCGTAAATTCTTAAATTCTCGTAAATTCTTAGTTAACGTATGATGTAAAAAAAAATATTTGTTAACGTATGGTATAGCTTCCCGTGGGTAAAAGAATTTTCAAAATCGGTCTAGTAGTTTCGTAGGCTATTCGATACAAAAAAAAAACAATCAAATCTTTCTTCATTATAATATTAGTATAGATTACTAATTATATTAAACAAAAATGTAGGTATAATTAAGTTATTTAACTAAAAATTCCAGGTATGATAAACGAACGTTGCTTCTGGCCCAGAGGGAAAGCCGTTGGAGGTACTAGTGTCATCAACTACATGATATACACAAGAGGAAGACCACAAGACTGGGACAGGATTGCTGCAGACGGCAATTATGGCTGGTAATGTTGCAGATTTTTTCACCAAAGACCACTTAATTCTTGAGATAAATATTTGAGAATTAAAAATTCAAAATATATTTTGAAGATCGAAGCTAAAAAAGTTTTCGAGGCGAAATTTTCTGATTTAAAAATTTAATTTCACAAGAATTATCTGAATAGAAAAATTTGAAAGATAACGCTACAGCCATATTACACATGTAATAGCAATCAAGATGGCGATGTTACATTTGAAATACATTGAATTAAATCGATATCGTTAATTTAACGTTATTAAGAATTAGAGGTGAGGCGTATATATTAAAACAGATCCATCTACTAGGTATTTTACAATACTACGCCGCACCTTTTTTTCAGACCACAAAATTACAACGCTATTTTAGAAAAAAAAAAATAGATTTATTTTTTGGATACCCTACATTAATGATATGACGTAACGTGGATTGCCATATCGCAACCCCGGTGCGACACTGTCACTTTTGCAAAAAATACAAAAATTAGTTAAATATGTAATAATTGTCCTAAAGCCCCCTTTACTTGGTGCGATAATGTTACTTTTGTAGATGAATCTCATCTGTATCTTCTAAAGTCATTGTTTTGTGAGGTGGCAGAGTTTAAAACTCTTCTCCTGAAAAACTAAATTTTTGCATAAGTGACAGTGTCGCACCGGGAGTGCGATCTCATTAAACGTTAACGCTTAAACGATATGATCGATTTTAGGACGCCTTTTCATGGAATCATCATTTTTACGATATGACCACGACATGGTTACAAAAAAAGAGATAATGATTAATAGGTACAAATTTATTAATGAATGCACCCGTTCCTAGGCATGACGCTTCAACCAGCCATCACTTGCATTAACTTTTCAAATATTCTTATAGTATTACATATAAATAAATAAATTTACTCCGTTATCTTAGTTATTTTCGCAATTGAAAACGCTGTTTGAAAGGACTAAACCTTAATTTAGTTTAGTTTGTGCATCACAATTGCGAAAATTATGTTAACGATCTGCATGAGTGCTAAATCACTTTATAGTAGCTAAGATCACTTCCCAATAAGACTCTGTTGTAAATTTATTAGAACTATTACCCTCTGTTTCTGAAAATTATGAAGTTATCCAAATAATCTTGAGCACTATTTACCACATGATGTACGTTATAAATAACATTGTTTATTATCCTAACTTTATGATTATTTTATTCGCATTAAGACAATCGTTATATTAATTAATCCTCTTTCGCAATAACATGTTCTCATCTTCAATTATGCTCTCGTAAGCCCGGAAAATAAACTATGCCAGAATAACAGTCGTAGCGCCATTAATAGCTACAACGTCAATAAATTAAAGAGGCCATGGTACGAGTATTTTGAGCTATCGAAATTGTTAATACTTATATCATTCGAATGCAAAAGTAGAGGATCTGTATTGAGATGGTTAGTCACGGTTTATACGTTTTGGACGACAAAAGGTGTCTTTTTTTTTAAATTCAGTTTTATTATTATGCAACTTTCCGCCAGCGACTTTGTCCGTGTTGTCCTGTATTTTTCATATAAACCTAGATCTTTAATTAATCTGTATATTAATGAGAATCGCATTAAAACCCGTTGTGTAGTTTAAAAGATCTCAGCATACAGACAGCGAGAAGCGGCTTTGTTTTATATTATGACATAGATTATGTTTCGCATTTATTATAAATGCTATCTTTTCGCCAGCGGCTTCGCCCACGTGTTTACCAAAGGGAACTGTTTATTTGGATATCCATTCATATCATAATGCGGATATAATTAAAATAACAAATTGAGTAATAAACAATGGTTACTATGGTAACATTTTAATTCCCTATACAAAGTTTCACTCCTATTTTCATCATTTTTTTTTCGAGATAAGACACGGCCTAAGTTCACCGCATAGGTATGATGTAGCATCTGTCTATGTAATCTTCAAATTTTTAAATATTAATATAATACAGTCGTGGCAGAATACAATAGGTAGGAATATTCATTAAAATAAATCATAAAAATTCATTAGGAAATAAATTAGTTCCAACCCATAGTGCTTCAAAAACAAAGGCCACGTTCATGGTCACAGAACACTCATAGAACCATTAAATTAAACATTGCATGGCATTTGTCTGCTTAAACAAAAAAATACCAAACTCAATATACACAATGAAATTATTTTATCATAATAATAGCATGCACTTCATCACCATCAAATTCAAAATTATCTTTATTCAAATTGACAAAAAAAGGATGTAAGAAACTCCTAAACTTATACATATAAGAAATATTAACAATATTTATGAAAGTTGTTTAATGGGCACACACACACACACCTTTCCACCCAAATTACGTGTATTTTTTTAGTGCCTACAAAAAAATCTTAAATTTTCACGCCGCTTAGTGCTCGCGCGTTTGAGGAAAAAATAAATACACGTGATATTTTACTACACCTTTTTTTTCGTCAAAAATCACGAAATAGCACAAGGAGGGACTTAATGAAAAAAAAAATAATGAATTAATGGACGGACGAGTACCGAAAACGACCAAAATCACGTTAGTTGTGCGAAAGACCCCTTAAATATTTATTTTATTCACCAACAGAAATACATTATCTGTGAAAAGCTCAACTGTCTCACTATCACGGTTCATAAGATACAGCCTGATGACAGCAAAAAAACACGTTTGTTGCATAGCAACTATAGCTACTTGTAATCCCTGACAATTCAGATATTTTCAGTTCGAATGTTTAATGTTCCTATTTCTCTCCTCTCCAAATTGCTGTGCCCGACGGGGTCCATAATGATACTTTTGTTTTTTTTGTTATAAACATCCTAATACTACATTGTGGAGTGCAATAAATAAATAAATAAATACTTCCTACGTTTAATGTAATTTTAATGTTCCTACAAGTTTGCTACTGAATTCTTGTACCATTCGTTGGAGGTTAAAATATTGTAACGATGTCGATGTTAACCTACCTATATTTTAAGTTTTCTGTTTCAAGGGAGGTTTATTTGGTCGTTACAGGTCGTACAATGATGTTCTTAAGTATTATATGAAATCTGAGAGAGCTGATCTGGACGGTTTAGAAAATCAACCTTATAGAAGTAGGACAGGGGACATGCCAGTGACGTTGGTTCCAAAAAAGTAATTATATACAAGAACTTTATTATTACTATTTATATAATCTATTTTATATTATTATTATAATCTATTTTAACTATTTTTTTGTTTGTTTCTCATTAACAGAACAAAGCTAATCAAAGCATTTTTAGAAGCGGGAAGAATTTTGGGACATCCTACAGTAGACTACAATTCGCCTCATGAATTAGGATTCGGATATGTTCAAACTAATATCGAGAAAGGACATCGTCAAAGTGCTGCCAAAGTGTTTCTTCATACCCATAAACGAAGACAAAATCTACATATCATGCATTCAACAATAGGAAGTAAAGTTCTTATTGATCCACAAACAAAAGCCGCTTATGGAGTCGAATTCATACACAGGGGCGTTACATACACCTCCCGTGTACGCAAAGAGGTTATACTATCAGCTGGACCTATTGCTTCACCGCAACTATTAATGTTGTCTGGTGTGGGGCCGAACGATCATCTAACGTCGTTAAATATATCAGTTATCAAAGATCTACCCGTAGGTCAAACCCTGTATGATCATATTTGTTTCCCTGCTGCAATTTTTACATTAAACGCGACGCAAGTGAGTCTTAGCGAATCAAAAGCATTAAGTATCAGGAAAATGTTTGACTGGCTAAGAGATGGCGATAACGAACTATCTTCACCAGGTGCAGTAGAAGGAATAGGTTATATTAAAACGCCTGTTTCTGACGATCCAGAGCCTGTCCCGGATATCGAACTGATTAGTATTGGAGGTTCTATTGTAGGCGACGGCGGGCCCGATGGCAGTCGAGCAGTACGCAGAGGCATGAGGATTTCAGATTCTGTTTTCAATCAAGCCCTCGGCCCCATCGATAATACAGACACGTGGAGCGCATTTCCAATGTTATTACACCCTAAGTCTTTTGGCTACTTGGAATTGAAAGACACTAATCCTTTTAGTCATCCTCGTATGTACGGCAACTACTTGACTGATCCGAAAGATGCAGCTACTTTTGTTGCAGCTATTCGACATTTACAAGCGTTAACGGCGACAGAACCGTTCCAAAAGTTTGGTGCTCAGATATATAGAGCTGATTATCCGAAATGTCGTGACAAGGCCTTTGATTCTGATGCCTATTGGGAGTGCGCAGTGAGAACAATCACCGCATCTTTACACCATCAAGTAGCAACATGCCGTATGGGACCTGCCGGAGACCCAAAAGCAGTAGTAGACCCTGAGCTACGTGTCTATGGTATAAAAAATCTGCGTGTTGTTGACTCGAGTATAATACCAAGAACGATATCAGCTCATACGCATGCACCAGCAGTCATGATAGGCGAAAAGGCTGCTGATATGATTAAGTACACATGGAGTATTTGATAAGACTTTTTTAAGACTGAATTTATTAGGTGTGATTTGAATGTTACCTCAACTAGGTATTTAATAAACAAAATATATCACGTTTACTTTTTATTTCAGTTGTTTTTATCTCGGTTTCTCAGGCAAACAAAATGTTTTCGCTTAGTTAAAAATAAACGATTCACTCGTAACATATCCATTTGTTCAACAGTACAACACTATTATAGTTTGATGGAAAACAGATCAGAAACACTTATGAAACGTAAACGAACTATTCCACATTTCTACTGTACATAATTCATACACTTAAATAAAAATCGATTAAAAACTGGTAAGAGAAAACATTCAAAGTGATTACACAAATTAGTTAAAAATAACATAGCAGCGGTGAAATTCACGCATTATTCTGTATAACAAAAACTGCAATGGAATTGGGTTTCTTTGGTGTTTGCTGGGAAGATTAAACTTGATTGCTAGGCCTCAGGGATCGGGAGTCCAGGACAGGATATAATAGGTGGAATTAATGGGCAGTCGCTGTAAAAACATAAATTGGTTATAGTCGGACTTATAGATGTAACAGGCAACATTTATTAAATTTACGTGTACTATATTGAGGGCCTTATTACATGTTGACTTTGTTTTTTGCCTAAAATGGTAAACTTTGGCGTTCTCGTGACTTATAGAATAATGCAGAGTAACTATTGGCTCGTAAGGTCGCATGCAGTAGCGAATCCGCTTTTTGTAAATTATGCTTTACTTTTTAACTAAATCCAAAAGAGAAATATTATTGGCACTTTTTTGAGCTACTGGTCTAAACATATGAGATAGTTAAACTAGAATGTCATCTATAGTTATGCACAAATTTATTTTGCCTTTTCAATAAAAACTATAAACTGCAAAATTACTATAAAATGCGAAGCACCGGCAGTCTGTGCTCAATTTGCATGGCCACGTAGCAAGTTTGTTTGTATTTGCAAGAGTAAACCCAAAATCATTAAATTTATATCAGTTTTTGTTTTATGTTTACAAGAAAATTAAAAACCATTTTTGACGTGCAATATGTTATCCTCCGTCTCTATCTATCTGTTTGCCAGTTGTAATGAAATAAATACAAAGTGTTTTGGCTCCAGTCCTACGTCCACTTTTAATCACAATTAGTAAATTAGATGAACATGATCTAAAAGCAGCTACTCAAAACTGCTGATGTTATTATGTCACTCAGGTATATCATTGCGCAAAGAACAGATAAGAAAAATATATGATAGAGATAAGTGTAAGTGGCTAATAATTCAGGAGAAAACATTTTAATAAGAATGTGTTTCAATTGATATAGAAGAGATGATTGATTTTAAACTCTCGCATACTTTTTAGGTAGTACACCGACATGATAAGATAACGAGCATTGATTACTTTATCTAACATCAAAATCATTTGAATATTATCATGTTGATGAATATACATCCATTGATAAGGGAATATAATATTTTACTAAATCACAATATCAACACTGGTCCCTCTTTTTAAACAAATACTCAACAAGACCTTGATTCTGCAAACAGCCGGCTGCACAAACGTCTTTTAAAATTGTCATTAGCTTACATTGGTATTTTAATTACATAATTACTACAGTAAAGTCATACATATGCCCTGCAGAGGAAAGATATGTGAATCATCTAAAGGCATGCTACATGAATCATTGATTAATCAACATTTGCATCTCAAAATTTAGGCTCGACCCATATACACTCTGGACGAATTTTGATCTCATTGCTCAATATTAAAAGTATTAAAAGAATTGCTAAACTGACTAATTTATGCTTATGATATGGCCTTGGATAAATGTCAACCATGCAATAATAGACTAGATAAGGCTGATCACCTTATTGATTATAGAAAAGTAAGGGATTAATCTACATATTGAAAAAAATTGATAGTTATATTACAGTGTAAGATAACACTTCCTTCGATGTTCACTTTTGGCCACCATGAGCTCTGCAATATATTGCATTACCCCTACCTACCTAGCACTTTGCACTCAGCGAATAGTGTGTCATGCAGTTGCCTGTACATGCATCAATGAGCCATATCAGTTACAGCTTACTATACTATTGCTCCTTAGGTTCCAATAGATGGTGTTAATAAGTATATAATGTTGTAGCAAAGTAATCAACTGTATAATAAAAGATATGAATCATAAGAAGATCCCGTAACCGGAGGTTATATGGAAGCTGGATGTTTTTACAGAGGGATAAAATATTTTTACTATGTTACTACTTTTATACTAATTTCTTTAAACTTTTTCTGATTGAGCTTAATACATTTTTGTAGTGTATTTTTAAATAATTGCGTGAACCACCGTACTCTGATAGGAAACATTGCACACTCTTTCGTATCAATTGAAGTTGAAGAACAATTTTTCTTAGCTTTGAACCGGTTTAGTTCATTTAGCATATCACATGCCAACTGGCAACAAAACGTTGTTATCAAAATAAAAAGAGGAAAAGATAAAGGAAAACAATATAATCAAATACAATTACCTGAAACTATCAGCGCTTCATTAGGACCGACCGTGTGAACATTACCCATGGCGTAGTTTATAATAACACAAGATCACAATTCTATTTGTAGGCGTTCTAGTTAGATAAATCTTTAATTGATCGATAATAATTCACAAACACCATATAAACTACGCTCTTTTAGTTAAAGCGCCGCCGCCTTCGAAAACAATTGTCTGACAGTCAATATTTTGACATTTGAATGTTTTCAATGACCAATGAATATTTAGCAATAGACATATGATTTACAATGATTGGAGTAAATTCAAATATGTCATTCTGACAATAAAATTCACCAATGAGCATTCACAACAGATGATGTCATAAATTTGTATTTGTTGGCTATGGTTGTAGGAACTCTCCTCAGATTCTCAGCCTGCCCTCACAGAGATGCAAGGTTCATAATCCGAATCCGCATGAGAAATATTTAAAAAGAAACATTAGTTCGCGAAATCAAACTAGATGTCGCTAAGGTACTTTCTTGATTTCGCCATGACAACCCTTCCGGTTTTCTTTCATGTTTAAAAGTAAATTAGTTTTCAAAACTCAATAAACAACTCTTTTTACTGGTAAATTTAAAATTTCCATGGGAATTTTGTTTTAGTAGTGTATATCTTTATGGTTCAAGGTATACACTACTATAACAAAATTACGAACGAAAGAACGGAACGGAACGGGTTCCATTTGTTTCCTGCAAAATCAACTTTTGCTAGAGTCGCCATCTAGTAGAGGTGCTTTTTAGTGCTTCCTCATTAGCAACAAACTGTATCTATCTATGATCTGTAGTCACAAGGCTGTATGGGCTAAGCACCCTTTGCCTTCTCTTCCCCTATAGGACAGGGAACGGAACCAAAAATAAAAGAGATTTGTGGTCGCAGTATAATGGCGGCGAAGCTATTGTGATTGTTTGAAGAGCTCCTATTGTCAAATTATTGCTAATGCCCTTTAGTGATAATTAAAAGTCAGCTTATTATTTGTAAGTATCTCTTCATGTGGTTTACTATTTATATACCTTTTTTCACAAGTCAGTGTTTTCTGTAATATAATGTTCAATGGAAATTTGTCAGTTTTACCTACAATCATCCTTGCAGATTTACCGTTGTGATTTATAACGAGAATGTCTGATACAAGTGATCTCGATCGTCAAATAGAGCAGTTAAAAAGATGCGAGATTATAATGGAGGCTGAGGTAAAAGCGCTCTGCGCGAAAGCCCGTGAAATTCTTGTTGAAGAGAGTAATGTGCAACGTGTGGATTCTCCTGTCACGGTAAGAAATACACTTACCATTTGTCATACATAGCAATAATTGTCGTACTTTTATCGATTATCGTTTATACAAGCACGTTTTAATTGGTTAATTATGTATCAAATGTGTACACGTTTCTATAGAATATCCATCTGTAAGACCAAAGTCACTTTCTCTGTTGTGAGTTCAAACTTATGGTCATAATCAGGTTCTATTTTATAATAATTTTATGGACTAGGTTATATATGTGTATTGTAGATTACAACATCTTCCAAATGTAAGTTGCTGCTGTAACATCCAAAAATGATAGAGACAACCATCATTGATGTCTATACCTTGAGCATATAAAAAGTCAGCTCAGTTTTAGTATCGGGGATTATGCACACAGTACTGATATTTTAGTGATGCCAAAAACAAATAAAAAAAGAAGCATTTCTATTAATCTTTTCCTAAGTTTCTATTTTCATAACAGACTTGTTACCACATACTTGCTGCAAGATACTCTAGTGGTTGCAAAGAACATACAGATATCTACAAAAAATCTATTTTACAGAATAACATTTTAAAGGTTCAAACCTTTAAGATGTTATTCTGTAAAATAGATTTTTACAGAATAACATTTTAAAGATGTAAGATAGATGTAATAAATTAAGATGTAATAAATTGTGTAGTAATAAACAAGCATTATTTTCTAAATTTGGCTGAACAAAAAATTACAGTCATAAATAACATACATATTTAATTTTTGGTTGTAGCAAAATAAACTAAGATGATAAGATATTAGCAAACCAACAAATCTGTCTACTCAGTTTTTAATTCAGATCTAATGTGTGGATCTAAATAACTTTCACAAAAATAACATTTTATCAATTCAAGTAGGATCTTTTCATAATAAGTTTTAAACATCATAACATCCTACTAAGAAAAACTTACAGTAGAACAAAAAAAATAATTCTATTTAATAAACTTCCTCTAAAGCATTTTCTGCAAAAAAGTGAATTCAACCAATAAAAATGTAGTTGCTAATTTGTTCTATGCTGCCGTCGATATAACCCTACTATGCAAGCCCTGAGCAGAGTAGTGGACATTATTTTACTGGAGATGGAACTGGAACAAACAGAGTAATGAGTCTTGAAACATGGAGGAGCTATAATAGACTCTTTGATCATATCTATTTGATGACTAGCATTTGTCACATATGCTTAACGCAGACTAGAAAATATGTGTTTTACTAGTCTGTATGTAATAATTGAATATGAACAACAGCTTCTTGCCTGCATCGTTTTCCTTTTTTAGTCAAGGCATTATGTTGTATAGCCTAAAGCCACCATCAATAAATACACTATTCAACACAAAATAATTTTATAATTTGAACCAGTAGTTCCTAAGATGAGCACATTGATAATTTAAAACATTCATTCAAGCTTCAAAGACATCCTTAAATCTTAACGATCATTTATATAATTAACAGCCAGTTGCACAAACATCCATTAAAATTATCATTAGTTTAAAGCTACATTACCCATACAAATTTGACATTCATTAGAGCTTAAAGGCGTTATTAAACCTAAATGGATGTTTGTGCAACTGACTGTAAGTGTTTTTATTTTATAGTTATAATTAAGCCTTTATATTATAATAACTAACTTTCCACCAACATCTTTGTCTGTCTTATACTTGACAATACATTTACCCCCTAAGGAACCATTTAGTGGGACTATAGGTAGCCTGTATATTAATTTAGACTTAGAATTATCTATATTAAAAAAAAATATTATTATTTGTTTAATAGTTTTTCCTTGAAAGAGTAACAAAAATACAATTTCACAAACTTGTGCATTTATAATATTAGTCTGATGTTGCATAGTTTGCATTATTACTATTTTAGGTGTGCGGTGATATCCACGGCCAGTTTTATGATTTAAAAGAATTATTCAAAGTTGGTGGTGATGTTCCTGAAACAAATTATCTTTTCATGGGAGACTTTGTTGACAGAGGATTTTATTCGGTGGAGACATTCTTACTGCTGTTAGCTTTAAAAGTGAGTATCTAAGTCTTCAAATACTATAAATATTCCACTATCTTTTAAATGTGTCTCCAATGGTGAGTGATACAGAAGGGAATCAGAAACATTTAAATAAGGTATTTTTTATATCACCTAGATTTAAATAATTTTCAATATTTATACATATTAATAAAAAATACATTTACATACTGAACAAATCAGATAATTAATTTATTGTTGTATTTTTGTGTATTATTAATACATAATTTGTAGAAAAATCTAAGAAGATGTAAAATTAAAAAAGAAATGTTTTCCTTTCCACTCACGCTATAATTAATATATAACCCTTTTATTACAATTAACATTACAAGATATTATTAACAAAATAAATTGTCATTATTGATACATTCATTTTTATTTTATCTACAAAAGCAGTACAGCCCTGCAATTTTGTAAAAATCCACACTTGAGCAGAAGCCGCTTTTTAAAGTGGATTCGGTCACCTGACTGAATTTTGAATTCGGGTTTGTTTTTTCCGGAATCACAGGGCTAGAAGCTACTTTCACACTCTTCTTTTTAAAAAATACATTAGCTATAGCAGAATAAAATACTGAGAGCAAATGTTGATTATAAGGTTACACAGCCACACTCGTGACAATATAAAAAGTAGGTTTTAATGAAAACTAATACTTTGAACTTTCTCAAAAACCAATACTTTGATCTGGAATCTACAATTCAATTTTCCATATTGACACAGAAGAAAGCAAGGTATCAAAAATACTCTTTATTTTATAAGTGTTTCTACTCAGAATAAGTCACAGCATTTAATATTAATTATGTTTTCAACCGAATATCAAGAGAAACGTTTTCATAAAATGCGCGAAGACGCTTTTTTTGAGTTCTTGGATTGAGTTACTACTGTTCTAAATGAAATTAAAAAAATTATAATGATATCTCTTATATAGTTCATAGCGGACTCGAAATTTTGAAATAGCACTTATTAAACATAGAAAAAAATCATATTATAAACCAAAATACTTCAAGTATTGCTTGAAGTTAATGGTGAATTTTTCGTATCTACGATAATATTATTGTACAAATTTATACCAGAATAATAACTACTTCATTAAGAATTAAGATTTTATAATTTTAAAGCATAAATTTATCATCTTATTTCATTAAAAATGATAAATATAAACGCAAAATTACTTCAAATCACCTACAGGTAAATGACCTGAATGACGAAAGTTCACAAAATATTAATAATTATTTTTTGTTTCCTTAAATCACTTGGGTGACCAAAGTCCACAAGATCTGAATAATTATTTTTTTGTTTCCTTAATTCACCTGGGTTCAGTTTTTAATGTGTGTCCATAAATGGCATGCTTTGTTGTAGGTACATATTTATTTTGTTAAATCAACCATGGATAATATACTTATTAAGGGCAAGAGCGACTGATAATTTTTGACCAGCGTAATCTGATATCCAATGTCAGAGTGACCTCGACACATATCTATTTTCCCTTTAACATCGTTTCCATCAATATATTCAGATTAAGTCATTACATTTTATTAATGGTATGTAAACAAATAATGTGATATATAATATACATATATTTTATTAACTAAGTCCCAAGAAAAGGGCTGGCTAATGAATAATAAACTTAAGCTATATTACTCTGCTCTTGCTGGCCGTTACCTTAGAATCGCGTTATGGTAATCCATCATGTCTGCCTGGAAAATGATATCTTAAAATATAGACGCAATTTCAATCAAATTACAAAACATGATTAAAATTGTATGTAGTAAAATTGACGTCCTTGATCATCTGCATGGTGAGTCACCCAACCCAGGGTTGGATGAGAGATCTCAAAAATTGACGTCATATTTTTTTTTACAATGCAGATCTTTTTTTAACACAGGGGAATGCTTTATGCACTATATTTACCGTTTGACAGGCAGCAGAGGATATGTGCGACTGCACGGACCCGCCCGTAGGCTAGTCAAAATTCGGATGACATACCCACTCACAGACAGTCGGCGACGTGCAATGACCAAGTGGTTGTCAATCACCTGGTGCACCCCTTTAGGGAGGAGAGTTATGCTATTAGACTTTATCTCTCCCCTCTACTGCGGCGTCTGCGACGCCATCAGATAGAGTTTGCCAGGAGGTGACACCGCCTCTACCGCACACACCCTCTATACCAGCAGATCAGCCATCCTATGTCTTTGGAAGCCAGCCGTCCCCATCGCATTCAGTGTTCGATGCGAAAGAAATTTCCTTTTGAATTAATCTAAAATCTTATTTATTTTCATTCAGGTCCGCTATCCCGACCGAATAACACTTATACGCGGCAACCATGAGTCAAGACAGATCACGCAAGTTTATGGATTTTATGATGAGTGCCTCAGGAAATATGGTTCGATTACAGTTTGGAGGTAATTTTAAAATGCTGTAAAATAAACATAAATTCGTATTATACTCTCGATTTTTCTATTTCTCTGTTATACAAAAAAAATCTGATATCATAGGTTTTGCATTCACAATGTACACATGGCTGTACGTCAGAATACCATAATATGTCAAATATCCTTGATTTTTAACTCTATCTGCAATGAATTAATGTTAGAAATTAGAAATTTTAATAAAAAATTTAAGTTAGAAATTTGACAGTTTTGTATAGACCGACGTGCTGTTGATTTTAGAATACTTACAAAATATTGATATTTTCCTACAGTATAAATTGATTGTGCTTAATAAAAAATATTTTCCTTTTATTATTTGTTTTATACAGGGGACTTTCAATACAAATATATGAAATAGTTATGGAAATGGAATATTGGTTTTAGACTCAGAGATGTAAAAAAATGTTGGTACATATTGTGGGCTTCTCCCAACATATTATATACACTTATATACATTAGCAGTTTTACTCCTTGAACACTATAGATTTTATTCATTGATCAGTCAGTATCTATTACTTTTACTCTTTCATATATTATATATAATATACTCTTGATTTTTCTATCGACTACGGCGGTTGCTTGTCAATATAATTTTAAATTGAAAATAATTAATTATACAACTTCGTATGTTCATTGAATATAATTGATGCGGACACTAGCTTAAGGATTCACCTTGTGAAGTAAGCAATAAATTGATTATTGGATGTAAGGCGTTTCTATTCAGAGTCATAGCTATACATTCATACTTTTCATCGCTACAATATTAAAAACACATATAAGAGTGTTGGGAATATAGAAATCTAAAGATACAATCAAATATTTTGTGATTTGGTTCAAAGTTAACTCGCCATGCATGTTAATTTGTTATCGAAAAAGAATGTCTCATGGGATTATTTTTAATATAAATCTTAACATACATTGTGAATGATAATATGTATGCTATGTAAGCTATATCAAGTATTTTTCATAAGATTAATATCAAATACATTATGAATGCACAAATTTATGGTGTATAACAAAATGACTATCTCTTTCTCCATCAAAAGGTTGCCTGGAAGAAATCGCTTTATGGGATAAGGCCTCCAATTGTTTGCATTTTAATTAAGTTTAATTTATGTTTTTTTTTGTGTAAATAGTGTAATGTCAACAACAAAGAGTTATCTATCTATCTATCTATTCTTTTAAATAATTTCTATGTGCTAAAATTTGTTTGTAGACTGTACATACTTACGGAAAATATAACAAAATCAAAAGTCATGGCGAGTTTATTATAACTTTTATTTGCCAATAGCGAATTTACATCCAATGCTTTTTTAGGGATGACGAATTAACTTTGAATGTATCGGACTTTGAGTTTACAAAGACCCGTTAATATGACATTTTCCCACAATTTTTTTGTAATTGTAATTCGGAAATTTCCACACTCAGAATGCACTTTTCCTACAGCTATAGTCGAGTTTGCCTGGCCCTAGCCAGTTATTTTATACTAATATTAACTTGCAGATATCTATTATTTTATCAGGTATTGCACAGAAATATTCGACTATTTATCGTTGTCTGCGATCATAGACGGTAGAATATTCTGTGTACACGGCGGTTTAAGCCCTTCCATTCAGACATTGGATCAGATTCGAACCATTGATCGCAAGCAAGAGGTTCCACACGACGGTCCCATGTGTGACCTTCTATGGAGTGACCCTGAAGGTAATCACTAATCTCATTATGTAAACATCTTATAGTCTTACCTTATTAACGAACTACCTTTCCGTGAGAGGCTTCGCCCGCGTGGTCCCTAGGGAACTCTATTTGGAAATCGATTCATATCATAACATGGATATAATTACAATGACAAATCGAATATTAAATAGTGGTTAACGTTTTAGTTCCCTATACACAGTTGCACTCCCATTTTCATCGTATTATTTGCTGTTTTTTCGGGATAAAATATAACCTATGTTCACCGCATATAGCTGTAGAATTTTTAAAATCGGTCCAGTAGTTTCGGAACCTATTCGAAGCAAACAAACAAACACACCATCAAATCTTTCCTATTTATAGTATTAGTATAGACGAACGGTTAACGTACGCCAAATTTACACTGGATAACAAACCTTATTGTTATACTTTTAAGGATCAATTGAAGCCCATGATATGGAATTGAGTTCGAGTGGACCTTGTAGGTATAAGGATAAGGTTTTTTATTGAATTCCTACTATACTTTTGACATTTGTTAGCCGAATCATTCGTTCGCAGAATCTATAACACAACTCAATTATTGGCAGGTGTTAACGGTAGTGAATGCAGACGCGAGTGATTGTTTAACGTGTCTACCTTTGGGGAAGTTGCTTAACCTCATCAATCGAAGACCTAAAAAAATGATACCGATTGTAATGTTATTATTTATCGATTGTTCTCAGATACACAAGGGTGGGGTGTATCACCTAGAGGTGCGGGTTATCTCTTCGGTTCGGATGTGGTCGCCCAGTTCAACGTATCCAACGATATAGACATGATCTGTCGAGCTCACCAACTGGTCATGGAAGGTTATAAGTGGCACTTCAACGAGACCGTACTCACAGTGTGGTCTGCACCTAACTATTGTTACAGGTAAATATACTTGCATTTGAGATGGAACAGTAGGAGCAGAAACCTTAATTTAGTTCCTTATATGTTTTCTATTTGAAAACGAAACAAAATTTTTTTTTTTTTTTAAATACATTTAAATTTCACTCAGAAAATTCATCTACCCCCATCTATTATAAGAATGAACTTTAAGTTAGGTATTGAATAGTGAATGTCACTTGGTTTCTTAATGCACAAAAGGCCTATTAGCATTAACATAATAGTACTGGGCATAGAGAGATACTGTTAATTTTCGAATCAATTAGCGTATATGAGTTAAGAGGTGTGGTTTTGATCTCTGCAGCACGCACCATTACTGGTCCTTATATATTCTGGCTAAGGAGCCGTCTTATTACGTCACACAAAATTAATTATTTTTAAACACCCCCCACCCCCCTCCCCTGTCACATGTTTATCTATACAAGTTCTGCTAAATATTGTTATAATGTCACAGTTCCCCTAACGTGTGACGTAATTTATGGATGGCCCCTAATGAGTTTCTTGGTCGTTCTTAGCCTAAAGATGTTTCAAGCACCTTATTCGCTACTAACGAGCATTCGTCAGTCCTGTTGGGTCCTGGGTAGCTCAGTGGTTAGAGCAGTAGCTTGCATTGCGAAAGGTCATGGGTTCGAGTCCCATCTCAGAGCCCTGGTACTCTTTTAGTGGATTACAGAGTGGATTTTTTAAGCATTATTTATTAAGAATATTTTCCAATATAGCATATAGCATTGTGAATGCGGAATTGATCAAATGTAATGTATATTTATTGACAATATTTTTGACTCTATCGCATTCAGATGGAAGGGAGAGTATTTACAGTAAAATTGACTCCCATTTTTTTTATCTATTACAGATGTGGCAATGTTGCCGCTATATTAGAATTGAATGAGAATCTGCAACGGGAGTTCACTATATTTGAAGCGGCACCGCAAGAATCAAGAGGTGTGCCCTCTAAAAAACCACAAGCCGACTACTTTTTATAATGTTCCATACATTAGACACTGACCAAGCGTCTAGTATTACGATTTTAAGTAGTGACAAAACATTTCAACGTGTTAATAATATTAATTGTGATTTTAAGACTGCAAGTTGTATTGAGTATGTGTCGATTGTACCTTTAGGGTGACACTTCATTGAAGCATGCGTGAAACGGTGTGGAAAACTATCAGTATTCATTTATTTTCTTACATTCTACATCCTATCTGAAGTAGAACTTAACCTCCTTGATTTCGATTTTCAAGTTGATTTGACGTTTTGAAAAACTTTTTGTATATTGGTCATACAACATAATTGTTCATATATCAAGCAAATAAATTATATAATATTCTTTGATTATTTTATTGTGTGAGTGTTGTTACTTACATTTTTAAAAGAATTATTAGGTTGAAAACTCTGCTCATGGTGTATATTTGACTACGAAAATTATTGATAATGGTAGCAAAGACGGTTCTGCTCAAAACTTGTTAGAATGTCTGGGTTATAAACTGCTTTGTCTCAATGAAGTGTCACACTTTTATACTGGTTTTAATTGTACAAACATTGATAAGGAATATTGCTTCGCGCAGGTTAACTAACTTTATTTGACTGCTCTCGATTTACGAAACAAGCTAAATAATGTTATAAAATTCTTGTTTTGAATACTGTAAATCAACTTTATAGATAATTACACAAGATTCCCTTCTAGGATGGCTTCTAATATTCTATTTAACCTGTGCTTGAGAAGAGCTAGTGCATACATAGCACTTCAACTGAATTTAGTCATTTTGCCAGGCTTTGAGAGTTAAACTGTATATAACTCAAATTTTTAAATTCTATTACTATCAAAATTAAACAAAAATCGAAATGCAGGAAAGTGATAGTATGATTTAGTGTAACGAAATAAGTATATGACTGAAAGTTATATGTATACACTGGCTCTAACTTCAAATGTCAAGTGTGAGAGATAATTAATAAACTCCATTCTTCTCATTTCATTGAGATTGACGACACTTCGCTCCTAGATTTTGAATCCCCCAGAGATTTAGTTCATATGTGTATAGTAATGGTAAGAAGCACATGTCAAACTGAAATAATGTTCTTTAACTTAATAGTATTAAGTCACAGTTTATGTTCATGATCTTGTAGTGATAAATATTAGTTTTTAATAGTGCATAGGTATAATGGAATATATTGACCAAAATTAATTAAGAATCTAATTAACACTATGAACTAAACCATTGGTTATAATTTATAAGACTTACGGTCATAAGTTTAATTTAATTATGATAATAAGGAAACTACCAATCCCATAACATTAGTAATGAACAATGATTAGTACATAGAGGATCCATTTCAGTGTTTTTTTTTAACATACTAAGATCAGTCACTTGTGACGATAAACACTGCCCTAGAGATAATATTTGTAAATAATTATGAACATTAATTTTTCAATGTTTAAGTTACAAGGAAATTCTGCATTTTAAATGTAAAGTGGTATCTAAGACAAACTGTCTAGAAATGCAGTGATTTGTTTAATAAACTGTAGACAAACTTAGTTGCAATTTTTCTTTCGTATTAAGATATTTCGTCAGCACATCAAGTTATACAGAATTGACAAATTTACTGAATAAGTTGTAGACCATAATATGTTGACGGTGAAGTTCAAATTCTATTGCAAAAATAACCTGATGTACTGCTGCATACAACTTTAATTCATATTGTAAGATAGGCCTGTGATGTGAGATGATATGAACAAAAATAAGTTCTTGTTGCTTGAGATTCTATCAGATCTTTTAGATGATTACATGTGACAATGTTCCAAAACTAATAGTATTTCTTATTATTGAAAGCTCCTAGCAAACTTTTGACAATAGTCAAACACAGTTTTAGTTACAGGTTCGTGATTCTTGAAGAGGTTGTCATCATGTGTAAATTCTTAGACAAGATGACAACCTCTTCGACATCCTGATTAATAATAATGTAATGTTGATAAAATATTTTTTCATTTTAATAGTTACTGGAGGTTTCTTAATTAACTGTTTTTTGCGCACCATACCGTTTGCTAGACCATTGTGGCTACCGTTCGGTTTCGGAGTATGGAAACGTACACGCTTCTTCATCGAGCAACTGTAGTGGAGACTAAACGTCGCGCAAAAAATGTCTCTGCCTTCGATATAGAAAACAATTGTAATCAGAATCTGGCCAGTTATGTATAGCGTCAAAACACTGGCACATCTGCAATATTTACTTAAACATTCCTATTATTCTCAGTTCTTGCAACTGAGGCTGTGCAAACTCTTGAATTTCTTTTAATGATATTAATTCTATTGCAAAAAATCTACAAGAGTTTTCTTCAGTCCCTCGATTTCCCTACCAAGTTGAATGTGTATAGTTTGCACGCGACGGCGACCATTTTAGCTGTCAAATGATTTAGATCTAAGTTCTACAGTATAACAGGTTGAAGTAACATTTGATTTAATAAAAATAACCAAGGTGTGTTAGGTATTTTAAAGAAGTTCCTTTCCTCAAATTGTTCCAAAGCTATTTTTTAGCGGTCTTGTACATTATTTGTAATTAATAACAACCATTTAGTCTATATAATGATCATAAATTAGTATTTTCACATTTAAAATATTTTTTAGTAAATAGTTATCTAATGAAACTTCTACCTTTAGTACTTCCAGTTGCAAAGTAAATGAAATCCTTTAAATTGTAAAAGAAAGAATGGTTTCTTTTACAATTTTCTACCTAATACCGAATCAAATGAATTTTGTATATTTTATATACATATATATTAATTATTAAAATGAAATGCCATAATTTAAATATTTCATTTAATGTTTCACACAACAATATCAACAAATAAATAAAGTATATCTATGTAGAGTCAACTGCATGTCAGACTATAAAAAAAATGTTTCCCCTATTTGAAATATTAATAAATGATCGAAAAAAATTGCAGAAATTTGATATATTGTAGTAACAACCTGACGTGGAGCCGTATGTACAATTAACTAATCCATAATTCTAATAAAATAAATAATATCAGGAACATATAACATCGCATAAACTTGGTAATATGTCTCCACATTTGGTGGATATCTTTATATGCGCTACATCGTCGGCTCTAGTTGGACCAATATTCAAAATGGCTACTTCCTTATTCTCCTCTTTGGCTTGTAGAATAATTCTATAACTAGAATATACAGTCAGACTAGATCCTAAAACAAAAACTGCATTGCTAGCAGTCACTCGGTCTCGCACTTCTTCCACTCTTTGCTTGGGAACATTATCCCCAAAGAATATGATATCTGGTTTCAAAGGACCTTCACATTTTGGACAAAGTGGCGTTTTAAACTTTTCTACTTGTTCCTGAAACAGTAATGTTAAATACAATAATACATATTTCTTTATTAGAGTAAGCAATTTATAAACTTTGTTTTATTACATCTCAATGGCATTTATTTAATTCAAATTTAAAAGAATGAGGTTTTTTTTATCTTACAGATTTTAAATCCACATCTCCATCTGGCCTAATGAAAGAAAATGTTTCTTCCATCTCGGGATTATTTTTTATTAATTGTTGCTGCAATTCTTCTCTACAAATTTCATAAGGGCATTTCAAACATTTTACTAAGTAGCCAGTGCCATGCAGCTCAATAACATTCTGTGATCCAGCTTTATGATGAAGTCTGTCTACATTTTGAGTAACGATTCCAGTAACTTTACCAGCCTATAAAAATTATTTTCAATATTTTATTCACACTTTATTGATAGGTATCAAAATTATGAGTGGCCATAAAAAAATAATTTTGTTTTGATGCTGGAAATTATGTTAATAAAAAGTAGCAAATCTACACTTTTAAACAACGTTCATTTTTCCATTTTCTATGGTTTTTCTTAGGTGACATATAAAATACAACGGACAAACAAAGGCGTCAATATATTAATTTGTTTGGTAAATGTGTGATGATTAAGTATGAATATTAAAATATTTCTTTTTTAAATATAATTTATTATACATAAAATAATAATGAAATAAGAAATAATAGTTATAATGTTAAATTTGTATATGATTTAACTAGTGTAACATTCTGTTACAAGGTCAATAATTTGACTAAGTATAGATTGGGTGACATATATGGCTAAGCTAATGTGATTAGCTATTTATACACATGCAGTTCAACTTTTTGTCCGGAAACCTTGTTTTAGACAGTTTACTAAAACATTGTAGCCTAGCATTTAGATCTGTGTTACAATTGAATGCAGACTGTCACCTTATACATTATGATTAGTAATCAAGATGGTCCAAGAAATTTTAGCTCTCAGTGTCAGTTTTAACTAAAATGCACGCAACATTACATGTAAACCTGCTGATGATTATCAATATACATTGGCGGCATGCTCTGTGGTGGTATTAGTTTTAGTGTGTCATTACATGCACAATGGTTGCTAAAATATGCTTTGGAGGAGAATCCAAGATGATCAGGAAAGCATGTTGGTGTAGGCATATCTGTTGGTGATTTTTACTATAATCAATGATGTAAGAATAATAAACTACCTAAATATGATTTTGGTGCTTTTATTTCATGTAATATTCCATCAATTTCACAGACAGCCCTTAGCTTTTTCAATTTTTATTATCTTAAATATTCAATAATTTCAAACGTGACTTCTCATACAACTTTACCTCTTCCAATCGTCTGATCGATTTATGAGTCATATTTGGTTTTACTTTACTAAATCTTGGCCATCCTACGAAATTCCTGGCCCAATATCTTTGTCTCACTTTAGGATATTTTATAAACTCCTGATACTGGATTGGCTTGTGATTGCTTCGAGCATAAAGACCAACTTCTTCTGATCTGTAATCTGGTATACCTAATTTGAAAATAATTTGTTCGATGAGTTGTAGTCTTGTACAGTATGTAGGCTTTGGAAATAGTTCATGAGAAATGTTATACCTGATTCCGTAGATATACCAGCACCAGTAAGTATTAAAATGTTATTATGTCTTAACAAAAAATCTTTAAGTATCTCGAAGTCTTTTAGATCTGGTGGTTTATGTTTAGGAACATACACTATCTGCCGACTTGTGTATTTAAAAAATGGAACAATACGTTGAAACATTTCTAAAAGACTTAATAAAAAAATCGTAATGCACAAGTAATCTAATAAGTCTGAAAAAGAACCCACTCTTCTTCTTCTTCTTTTTTAATTCATGGCCTATTTGCATTTACACAATTCCGCCAATGTCACGTTTGTGGTCTTTACACGTATAGAAACAATAATAAAATATGTAAAATTTTGAATTTAAATAAAATAAAAAAAATAGCTCTGAGCGCGTCTATCTGATTACATTGTTAAAGATAATACAAATAGAATGTATATAGAAAACAAATATATTTATAAATTAAGATTATTATTGATTGCAAAGAATTTTGCTAAAATTTTGAATGGGCTGGGATTCTCCATACTCAAGATACATTTTATATTTGTTGGACGTATTTTATGTCGTACTGCGAGAACGTTGACATTGACAGATATTGCTTTCCGTTAGATTAGCGATGGGCGATTACTTTAAAAAATCGAATTAGTCGATTGATCAGCTGAATCAATAAAAGTCGATTACAATTGATGTTATTCGATTGTAATTAACAACTAAACCTTGCGGCGGCGGCGGGCGCTTATGACACGCTGCGGTTACCGTAATTACTTATTCGATTAATTTCTAGCGCAGTGCCATATTACTATACCCGTGCGTACTACTTTGGTGCGGTGTGGTGCGGCGTGCGCTGCGTTGGACTGCAGTTATTATGTGATTTGCTCTAATACGTTATTTAGTTGTCTGTTTAGTATTCAATCTACTGATTTGAGGGCTCATCCATTCGATCGTCGCAATGTAGTTGTTACTTATCTACACTATCAAGCGACGAATAATGTTGATATATAATACAAACAAACCTTGAAATGTACCATTGCTAACCTACTACATCTTTTTAGGGTTCCGTACCGAAAGGGGCCCTATTACTGAGACTTCGCTGTCCGTCCGTCCATCCATTCGTCTGTCTGTCACCAGGCTATATTTCATGACGGTTCATGAATCGTAATAATAAGACGGTTGAAATTTTCACAGACGGTGTATTAATGTTGCAGCTAAAATATAACCATTCAATTGGGCTCCCTTACAACAAACCTGTTTTTTGCTCCTTTTTTAAATGCTTAAGAAATCCACTTGGAACTTGGCAACCTGAGATGGGAATCGAACCCACGACCTTTCGCAATCCGGGCGACTGCTCTAACCGCTGAGCTACCCAGGACCTAACAGGACTGACGAATCTTTCAAGCACTTGTTACTTTTCGCTACTACAGAGCGCATTCTCATCAATGTTCTGGCATCCACCCAAACAGCTGAAAGAAATATTGTTACAAAAATTGAAATAAGGTAAAAAGTAAGGGAGATCTTGTACTGAGAAGAAACTAAGCAAGGGCAGCTTTTTTCTCCCTGTTTTATTTCACACAGAAAAGTGGAATGTGACGTGTAGTCACTTTTCATTACAATATCAGAAATCCTACACACAATCCTATACACACAAATCAATATAAATATTCATAATAAAAGAAAATTGGCGTAATTAAACAGTCCAGTGCAGACTCACCCCATCTGGCAGCACCAGTTGACGAGCTTAACGCATGAGCCAGCCATCGTTTCACTCAACTATATTTAAGGGAACGTAACGACTTGAAGCACACGGCACCACCGCTGAGATTTTTAAAAAAGCATGACTCTTCTAGTATAGGTACTTAATAAATAATACATTTCAATAAAACTGATTTCTAGAGTATGAAGTCAATATATTATTGACAATATTATTGTAAGAACCAAAAAAGCACAAATCCACCGTATTAATTAACATAATACCTGGCTCGACGTCCACCGTCGACATGCAAGTTCAGTAGCAATAGTATAACAACTGTACGTGTCTTTGAAATTGAAATTTAAAGTTATAACCTTGCTGTTCGTTTCGAACGGACGTTTCTTGTTAATTACTGATTTTTTATAAGATGATTTAATTGTGAATATATGATTCAATAACTGATCCAATTTTTTTTTAATCCTTAATTTCTATTCCAGTTTCCATTTTTCTTTTTCTTTGTAGTTTCCATTTTCCTTTGTTAATAAAAAAGAAATTTAGTCAAAGATTACCTTCTTCGTATTAATTGAGTTGCGTTAGATAGATAGAATATTCTTTATTTTACACACAAAGACAAAATAAATTTATTTAACGAAAACATGAGACCTACAATTGGCGGCCTTATCACTAAAAGTGATCTCTTCCAGGCAACCTTGAGCAAAATTTTAGTAGTTTTAAAATACTTTGTCATTCTATTGATTTTTCATAGAATTTGAATGAATGAATATACTTTATTGCATATTAAAACATAAACATGAAAACAATTATTACACTGGTAAACAGTATTTTTGTTAAACAAAATCGAGTCGGTTTTTTAAACACTACTACCTACCCGCATATAAACCTCATACTTAGTTTTGTTCAATCACCCTCAGTTTTCGTTAAACATAAACTAAATTGATTACGCGAATTTTGCTTACCGACGCATGTTTCCGATAAATTAATATTGAATTTTTGAAATTAAAACGGATTTTTTTTTTGTAATTGTCGTTTCTGTACATCGTAATAAGATGCCCAGAGTGTGTGTAAACCATCCTGATAACTTTTGTTACATTTGCGGTCAACTTACTATTAAAAGTCAACGTCGTAATTTGACACCATTAGTTAAAAACTGTTATTTTAATTATTTTGGCTTTCCGGTGCGAAATTTGGGCAAAACCTGGACTCCTAGTGTTTGCTGTGCACAATGTGTTAGTTTATTAACATTGTTCACGACTAACTGTGCTCTAATATGTAAATAGCTTTTGATACCAGGTTTATTATACTCTTTGATTTTATATAACTATACTTTTTGGAATACTATATATTTGTACATATTGAAATAGATTATAAAAAATAAATGATTAAATGTCAGTGTGCTAAAGACAAGCGGTCGTATCATTTACAAACATCATGGGCTAAAGGGTCTCGTCATATGCCGTTTGCAGTTCCAATGATATGGTCTGAACAGAAAGACCATGTATCAGATTGTTATTTATTGCCGAAAACTATGAAAAGTTGGTCAACAACCTCTTATCAGCTTACAAGAATATGGGATGCAGTATGTCACTCAAGATACACTTCTTACACTCTCATTAGGATGAACACGGCGAGCGATTCCATCAGGATATATCCAACATGGAAAAACGGTACCAAGGCAAGTGGAGTCCGAACATGTTGGCTGATTACTGTTGGACACTCAAAAGAGATGTACCTGACGCTAAATATTCCCGAAAAATTTTTTTTTATGGGATAGTGGGCAGACGAGCAGACGGATCACCTGGTGGTAAGTGATTACCGTCGCCCATGGACACCTGCAACACCAGAGAGGCTACAAGCGCGCTGCCGGCCTTAGAGGGAAGGGTTGAGGGGTAGAGGGAAGGGAATAGGGAGGGGTTGGGCCTCCGGTACCCTCACTCACACGACGAAACACAACGCAAGCGTTGCTTCACGTCGGTTTTTCAACCATACTTACTTAAAAAAAAGTGTATTGCAGTTGCAAGAAAACTGAGGGTGACTGAAACTTTTTAAAAATGCAGATTATTAACAGGCTAATTGTAGATACAAAATATCCCATTCAAATTAATTTAACTTTCATTAAGGTCATTTTTGTCAATCAGTGTTATTAGAAACATTGATGTAAAAGGCGGCCTTACTACTTATTGCTAACGTAGCCATCTCTACCAAGCTATCCTTGACTAAAAGAATCTATACCGATTGGGTAAAGAGACTGCGGGCAAGTGGAATATAAAGGAATATAAAACAGAATACAATTTCAGGAAGATGAATCCAGCTTGAGGAAATGTTCCTTGGCATATTTAACCTGGACTCTCGTGATTGTGCGCGTCTGATATTTACCAGCAGTGTGTTCCAAAGTTATATAACTCTGATATAAAATGACTTGGCTACAAAATCAGTTGTATGAGAAGGGGTCATTAAGGAAAGGTTATGGGAAGACCTCAAATCTCGGAGAGAATTAGAAGAGTAAAAAACGAAGCGATCTTTAAGATATTGCGGTGTTTGAGGATTAAAAATAATACAATAAAGAAGCGATAGGATGTGACAGTCTCTTCTACGAGAGATAGGTAGCCATTGAAGTTGGGAACGATAATCAGAGATATGGTCATACTTGCGTAGACCAAAGATGAAACGAATACATAAATTTTGAAAACGCTCAAGCTTATTTAGATGTATGACACTTAGGTCAGAATAACAGGAATCAGCATAGTCAAGCAGTGGGAGAAACAGGGATTGGGCAAGAATGATTTTTGTCTTAGTCGGCAATAGATTCTTGAGTCGTTTGAGTGAGCTATATGCACCAAACACTTTCCTACTAACCTCACGAACGTGACGGCTCTATGAAAAATTGCAGTTGAAAAACACACCAAGATTTAAGAGGATAGGCGGCAGCGTATTATAATTTATCCTGTCCAAATACCAATGGCTTCCAATAATTATTGCCTGAGATTTTTGTGGGTTTACTACCAGACCATTTCGTCGGCTCCAATCAGAAATGTGCTAAAGATCTACGTTAGTGGTGGCAATTGCCTTTGACAGTGCCTCTATAGGTGCTTGTGTATAAATTTAGAAATCGTCTGCCTACATATGATAGGAAGAGTAATTGAATTAATGAAGATAGTGAAAGGGAGAGGAGACAAAACGCTACCCTGCAGTACTCCGGCTGTTGTGTCGCACCAATCGGAGAAACGGTTTCCCACACTTATGCGCTGCTGTCGCCCGTACAGGTACCTATGAAATCAATCAATAACCGGTAGAGATACATTGAGAGAAACCAACATTGCTAGCAATATGTCAAAATCCACTCAGTATTGAATGCATTACTAAAGTCTAACAGTGTTAATATAGTAAGCGTATATCATCTGCAATCTTAACAAGTGCAGTAGTCGTACTATGACCGGGACGAAAACCAGATTGAAATGGATTGAACAGGTTGTTCAAAGAAATGAATCTACTAAACTGTTGATGAACCAGTTTTTCAAGGACTTTCGATAGGAAGGGCAATATGGAAATAAGACGATAATCTGAAAAGGAATCAGGCTTAAGATTTTAGGTACAGGAACAACATTAGCGTCCTTCCATGCAGAAGGGTAAAGAGATGAGGAAATAGATTTATTCAGGAATTTGGTAATTACAGGGGAAAGGATATCTAAGAGAGGGACAATCATATTACGACTAATGCAATCCCTAC